CCGATCCTCGGGCAACGACGTTGTCGAATCATAATAACGTATCCTGAAAGGTTGAACGGTAGTGCTAGCTGTATCGTAGGAAGGCTTGCTTCTCGACAAAGGTGTCGTCGAGCGTATCTGATTCGGCACGATGCTATTTGACAGCTCGAAACTCTTCACATTACCAAAGCGCTGATAATGAGGCGGTGTCAGATTTTGAACAGGTTTATCGCCGGCGGAACCTCTACTCCAGCTGGACGAAGTTGTTTCTACGGGTTGCTGGAAAGATGCCAGCGTCGACGATGCCACATAATTACTTATAGGCGTAGCGCCCTTCGTCTTAACGTTCTTGCCATACGGCTGAAAGGTTCTAGCTGTATTATTGCGAGACCCCCTGATCTTCTCTCGATTTCCGTCTTCATACAATGGGAAATAATTATCGTAGACCGGCGACAGATCAGTCGAGTCTCTCGTGTCGCTGTCATAATTGTGAATGTCGCCTGTAGTGGTGGTGAAAGCGCGATTCACTTCAAAGGCGAATGTGTTGCCATTCTGCGTCGACGAATCGATGTAATCTTCCGAATCGGGCGATGAAGTGCCGGGCGGTAAGAACGTTGTACTCGGATAATAAATTGGTCTGCGCGTCTCACTCGTTGAAAAATATTCGTCGTACGGTGTCGTGTAATAAGTCAAATACGATCTATCAGTGGTCGTAGACGATTGCAAAGTGGTAGGAAATACGGTAGACGGTTTGCGTCTTCTGGACGCGTCCGTGTCATCCGAAAAGTCCAGGACTTCATCCTTCTCTTTGGTTACCGACGAGTACTCCTCCGCCGTGGTCGGATACAACGTCGTCGTCCCGTATTGACCGCCGTCGGTCGTATCCGGAGGTTGCGTGGGCCTAATCTCCGTGAGCACTTTTTTGAAGGTGTCCGGATTCTGCAAGTATGCTGATAAAGCGTGAGTGAAGACCTGGGCCAACTCGCGCAATTTAGTATTATTTGATCTCTTCGCGCCGTTCACTGGGCCTTCGCTCTGTTCGATGTCGAGATCGTCGTCGTCGTCGTCGTTCTCAATCTCACTGGCGACGTTATCGATCTCCGCCGCAAATTCGGCTATCGTGGCGTTTCCCTCAAGCGCATTGTTCAGATTGAATAATTCGGCGTATGACGTGATGGTGTGTTGCGTGAGGATGTTGATGGGTAATTCAATAGATACGTTGCGCGAATGGTCATCTTCTCTGCCTTCAACCTCCTGATGCTCGACGCTCGCAGTGGATTCGGCGGTCTCGTTCGAGTTGAGATTGTCACTAGCTGTGGCGAAGTATAGGGCTAATGAATGCAAGGTAGACGGACCGGGCGCAAACGGCACGCCCCGATCAGATCCGCTCTTTTTGCTGATCTCACTCAGACTATTCGCGTTGTTTTCCAGACCCTGAAGAGAATGCAACATGCTAAGTGCGTGTTCCCGTTCGGCGTACGGCCTGTCTTCCAAGGTCGTTGGTCGCTTGCTGGTCACCTCGGGCAGATAAGTCGCTCTGTCTTTAGGCCTGCTCGTTACCGGGGGCGAAGATTTCATCTTGGGTAAAAGATTGCTCGCCGTTATGCGATAATTGGTTAAGGTGGAGCTGTAAGTCGGCACGGTAGCCGATGGCTTCGGTGTCGGAGTCGTAGTCATCGTCGAGTAAACGTAATTCTTCGTAAACGGTATATAAGGACCTAAGGTAGACAGTACTTTCCCTTGTTTGTAAGTGAAACTCGTGTCATAAGGACTCAAGGTCTTGCTGGTGGATCCGTTTAGCTGATAAACGTTCGTGCTTTTCCATGGCTTTTCGGTCGAGCTGATAGAGTTTTGCCGGAAGCTCTGCGAGGACGCGCGCCAGGGATCCCTCGTTGTACCTTTAATTTCGATATCCGCTATCTTGTTCTCGTTTTGATAATTGGAACGAATCGCAGCATCGCGAGCTTCTTCCTGGCTGACACTTGACGTGACATTAGCCGGTACGTTGTGCCGATAGCTTTCTGTATTTAAGTACGGACGCGATGTCGCGAAAGAGGCTGTGTCGCGATCGGTGTTCCTCTGATGGGTCACTCTGTGAGCAACGTACTGATTTTGATAATTTCCAGCGAGTGGCGGTACCCTTCCTATTGCGGCAGGAGTCTGCAGATTGCTGTGCGTAGCGTAGGACTCCGTAGTCGAATACTCATCTACGGTCGCGGTGTTGGCGTAAACGGTGGTTTCCGGAATATCGTCTTGTCCGTAATAGGATGTGCTGTAGAAGGACGTCTCGGTTGTCGGCGTGTACTGCAAAGTCGTTTCGTAAGGCGGCAACGTCGTCGTTCTGGGTTTATAAATGGGAGCGAACGTGGGTCCCGGGAACGAAGGAGCGTTTGTTTTCGGCGTGAAGGATACTGTTTCGGCCTCTTGGTTTCTCTCTGGCGCCGTCAAGGTGGTCGTCTCCTGATCGCGATAATCGACCGTGGAATGATCTTGATAATCGTACGAATGATAATAGAACTGCCGATTACTCTCGGATTTGCCCGAGTTGAAGCGATTTCCTCGATTCGACACGAACGCGGCGCTTTCTGCAAACTGCTGGTATTCCCTCGGAGGCACCGCGGTCGTGGTTCGGAAGGTCGTGGTCTCCATGTAAACCGGCGTAGACTTTTGGGATTGATTGGAACTGAACAAATTGTTTCGCGTCGAGGGTCGCGACTTTGCGCCTCTGAATCCTGGCTTCTCGTTATTGTTGAACGGCGTATTCTGATCCGGCCGATAATAGTCCTGCGCGTTATTCTGGTAATTCTGCCGAGTATCCTGGAACTTATTCCCCTGCTCGTAGTTGAACTTACCGCCCCCCTGCGTGTCCACTAGTTGATTTCTCTGCCTGTTGCTTGTCTGATAATTCGAGCCACCGTCGTGATACTGTCGTTGTTTCGGTTGCTGGTTGAAGCTCTCAGACGTTTGGCTCGTTTTCTCATTAGTCCGCAACGCGTTTGCGCTGTTCTCCTGGAAACGACCGGAATCCCGATTGTTGTTTGATCTAAAGTGCTGGGCGGACTTGAATTCCTGCTTCGCCGGAATTTGATTCTGATTGACAGCGGACTGGCCGTACGGATTCGTCCTGCCATTCTGCCTGCCGTCGTAATCAACATTCTGGGTCTCGTAGTAATCCGCGTTATCCTGCTGTTCCACGCGATGGTACTCAGATTTCATCTTCCTCGCATCTGCACGTTTCTTCTCCTCCTCGGCCAATTGCTCGGCGCTCTGTTCGTACAATTCCGTGGACTTACTGCAGTCCACTTTGAACCACCAGTCGCATATAAGCTGCGACTGTTGAAAGATGGTACCGTTGGGACATAGGAACGAGATCTTCCGTCCATTGTCACAGATGTGGAATACCTAAAATTATATTCAGCATCGGTATCACGTCTCTTATTAACCGAGAAACCAAGAAAACATTATAAATACTATTATTAAACTTCGATGGATTTTGTATGTAAACTATTATACATAAAAACAATTCGAGATGCAACAAAAAAAATTTCAAAGAGAGAGAAATTTTCACTCTTTATTGTTTAAAAATTTTGTTTATTACTTCGATGCTTATATCGTTTTTCCATGAATATCTTTTACGATTATCCAAGTTTCACAGATCCGTGATTAAGCGCATCTCTCTACGAGACTTTGACCGAACTATTTATCTGAGCGAGATACGTAATATCGATGTCACTTACTTGGCAATTTGTCTCTAAATCCGCGTAATATCCCCCTCTTAAACCGCGACAGCTGAATGAAGTGGTTGGAATCGACGTGAGAGCTGGATAATCCACCCCGGGCTGCCCTGTCACGTCTAAGTACAAAGTGGAGCGTTATTAAATTTTATAGCGCTTAGTGTTATATCAACGTGCACGGTCCTTCTAGCCCATGTTTTCGCGAACGTGCTTCTAAAGTATGAATATTGCGATATAATCGCTTGAGCTTTTACGAGCCATGCGAGCTCATGTCATCGATTTTTCTGCGAAATTACACCGCGGAACGAGAAGCTCTGAAGCTCTAGCGATATAGATTGCGTTTAAAACCCGCATCATGGCATTTCTGTGAAGGATGATAAATGAGCGATAGATTATCTGTCATGTAGCGCATCGTGCGTGTGAAAATATTTTGGAAATTTAATTTATCGGACGTAATAGGAGAGTGCGATTACGTCACGATTTTAGAGAAATAGCAGATTGACTAGAATAGCCGCACGAAAGCCGTAGAAAGTCTGTCACTTTAGCGAAAAGTCACGAAGCGTCCTAAGCACAATTGTCGTAAAACGAAAAATTGCACTTCGTGGGAAAGCAGAAACGCAGCCCGATCGCTCCGAGATATTCGCACGCATTCAATGACTTTCGCTTACACGGCCTTACGTAATATTTGACGCTTCGGTGAGACGGTTGGAAGCGACGCGCAGACATCGGATGCTCTCGTTTCCCTTCTGCGTAACGATCGAAACGGTGTCGTGATACGGAATGTTTCAAATTTAAACAAACAAGCTTCCGATAAAGTTACAATAAATATTCGCACAGATACATCCCTTGCAGTAGCGTACGAGGTATTTACATGACTGTACATTATGTTTACATGCAGGAAACAAATATACAACATGTATGATGCAAATGTATACATGGGTAAAGATAACACGCGAAGCGCCGCAGAGTGTAAAAATTGAATAAACAAATATTAATTTTATGTCTGGATAGAAGATATAAGCAAAGGTGATATTTATTCATAACTTTTTTTCCATATTTATGATCTACGCTCGGTTGTCTACAATTTTAACCAAAACTTTGCAATTAATAAGCGCGGAATAAATAAATTATGATAACACGCGTACATTTTCAATATTCTAAAATTATTTTAAAGAGTAATTTTGTGTTATTTAAATGATTTCTATGAACATTTTAAACACAGAGTTAAACAATTTGTTCTATAAATGATGATAGAAAAAAAGAATCTCATGCCGGAGTAAATACATCAAAAAGATAAAGCATGCAGGGAAAAGCACGCTCAAGATAATAATACCCGCTCCTTTGAGCCACTCCTTGAGAAGGTCCTCGTTACCGAAGAAGACTGGCAATGGAAGAAAAAGCGAGTCGCTTTAGTCAGGTCGGAAAAGAAAATATTAGCGATGTTGTCTCGAGGTTAGTAGGATAGCTCTGAGAGAACCTTGGTAAACTTGGTACTCGCCGTTCTTCTCGGGCGCCAGCCTTTTTACGATTTTCTTCAACGCTTCGACGTCTTCCTCGGATGCCTCGAGACTCGACAGGTCCAATTCCGTGAGGAACTCTGGCAGTCTCGCATGCTCGACATCTCGCGATGCCTGCAACGCAATATACTCTTAGAACGTAAAACTCCTTCCAGAAAAGCACTCGAATTTCATACGGTGAATTTCTCGAAAAATAAGCTACTTTCAACTCGAATTGTAACTTCTTATTGTATTACATCTATTTCAATTCTTGCGTTCCTTTAAATATTAATTTTTTGTGATCATCATTTAAAGAGATTACAGATGATACTAATAAAATTAATATAAGTCTTCTATTCGCATTTCTTTTTAGAGAAAAAAATATTTTTTGCTTCAGCTCATCATTAGCCTCGTTAAATTATATCTATCAGTTTTTATATCATCTTAACATTTTTTATTAAAGTTAATATTCAGAAACTTATAAAGTCGAATGCTGACAGAATGTCGATGTATCAATTGTCCCAGTTCATAATATTTTTTTTCAACTGATCTAACTATACGCGATTCACGAAAAGCGAATAAATGAAACCATGTGTGTGATTTAGTTCGCCAAATTATATATTAAAGAATGCGGAAAAAAAATCCCATTAAAAAAAAAAAAAAAAAAAAAAATTCCTCAGATCCTCGCGATATTCCGATATTTGAATCGCTCGTATACGCGAAGTGTTAATAATTAGAGAAATCAATTTATGCACTCGCACGCTCGAACGAGTCCGACGAGTGCATTAAGCGCTATCGATTTTGTGTGCGCGAAACTATACGACGCACGAAAACGAAACAAACGAGAGAACGCGGCATTATATCCCACACACGCGATGAAATTCGATACTGCACAACTCGTATATCCCCATGGGATGCCGAAAGTTTGATTAAATTTCGCTACACAGAGGCCGGCGCGCCGTTCCCTATGCGTACGCTTCGCGTAAATCACGGTTAACCGGTAAACGAGCGTCCTATCGATCTCGTTGTTATTGACCATTGTCGCATTTATTAGCGACGCTAACGGCGACTTCAAAGCACGACGAATGTTGGAAACGTAGCACTGTAATTTCACCCGAGGGCGCGATTTTTTGCGCGGGACGGGAATTGTCGCGCGTCTCTCTGTTATTAGATCTGACGCTCCTGCGCGTAATTTAAAATCCGCGTTACACCCATAAACGCGAAAGAAGTATACGTATACGCGCGGATTCACATTCGCCGACATGATCGCGCTTTACCCTCTTCCGAATCGATCGTTCGCGAATCGTAAATCGTCGCAATAACCGTCCTGTATACCGCCCGCATGAAATTCCACCAAAGTTAAATTGCATTACTTGAAATAAGGGCTGCAGGGACTTTAATTACTTAGCCGCCTAATTAACTCCGGCGTTCAAAGAGCCGCCTGATTGGAACTGCTCGGTCTTCAGATTAGCACCGCTTGAATATTTACCAGAACATCGCGTTCGATCGCTTTTACTATTTCTTTACAGAATTAAGAGAAAATCCGCGTTAAATATTCCAACTGGTGTTTTTAAACTATCGATTAAACTCGCGTCGAGAGTCCGGCGAATCTACGAAAGTCGATAGCGAGGAGGATAATTTGTGAATATAAAGACTTCATCGTCTGCGCGCCAACTTTATGAGTTGTACGAAAGTAAGAAATTTAATATTAAACTTGGAATATTGTATATTGCACTGTGTAATAAATTAAACGACATTTTCGTAGAATTAAGGAGATAGAGATTGAAAGTTACACAAAATTCGAGATTAGGTATAAAATTAATCTCAGATTTAATTAAAGTTTCAATTACAACGGGAAAAAGTAATTTATATTATATATATAAAGAATTAATTAATAGATAGATTCAAGCCTAGATTACTGATGCAAAAATAATATTATATTCTAAGAAATATTGCAAAAATTGCAATATTTAATAGAATCTAAGTAGTTTATTTTTATAAGATTAAAAGATTTTTGTATTCATAAAATAAATTCTCATTTTTAATATATGAACAGTTGAATTTTTAGTTCCAAAGATACACAAAAATAATCTTTATTTATTCATAATTATTTGAACATATAAAAATTAATATAAGATTATATTAACATACTTTTTGTATTTTAACATATAACATCAAAATATAAATACTATACCAATTACAATTATATTTCAATTGCAGTTCTTATTTAAGAATGATGTATCCAATTGTTTTAAAAAATAAAATTACACACAATGATAAATAACAAATACTAGTTATACGAAACGAAAATAAACGGATAAACATTAAAAGGTTATACCATTTTTATTTCGAGCATCTCGTATATAAATTCGAGAAACACACACACAAAAAGAAAAGAAACACACACTCACTCTTGCCTCGCAGTGACCAGGTGTGTAAGTAGCAGCTATACCTGAAAGTCAGAAACTGGAATTAGAGTTGTGTTTAAACCATCATGTGTTTCGCCCTGTGCGAAATTAGATCAGCGAGTCGCGGTCGTTTATAATCCGAATGTTCTATATACAAGTTGTTATATAGAAACCATGGCATATATTTGTATAGCCGCTGTATTCATACTGCAACCTTGTGAAAATAGTGGACAATAGTAACGTCCAGGCCGTTTCCATCGTTGAATAAAGAAGCTTTATCAACGATAAAGCATACCCGATCGGCAGGATTGCATACAATCGATACAGTATAATCCCGCGGGTATTATGATAGAGATTATATGTATATATCGTGACCTCTCTTTTCTTTATTTGGCACAGATAGAGTATACATAGAATAAGATCATATCCACTGATGTATGCATATATCGAAAACAAGAAATAAAAGAGAGAAAAAAAGAAAAAAATATTATATCAAACTTGTCAAAATTTATTTTGCTCATGAGCAATTTTATTCTACACCTAACCAACGCGTTTTACATATTCAACAGCGAAAAAGCTGAAACAGTTTTTTTTTGTCAAGAGCATTTTGAATATATATCGAAAATAACGGTATATGTATAGAATTGCACAAACACACACATAATATATGTACTATATATCGATAGGATACCAAAAAATGAAAAAATAACTCTGGGAAGTAAAGGAAACACGAAATGTTTATTTATGAAAACTCCCGCTCTTTTTTATATTTCAATATTTTTATATTTTAAATAAGACTCGAGATATAACATCTGCAGAAATAGAAAATATTTAAAACATCTTTGTTGAACAAAGAATTTATAAAAAATGCTTCAGAAGAATAAATATAAGTATAATTATAACGTTTACTTCTTCAAATTCAGCAATCGATTTTAAATTGACTTTAATGCAACGGAAATCTTTTAAATCGAGTTATTCTTACAAGGATATGAAATGCTGAAAATTGAGGAAATATTGTGATATTCAATTAAGTCAAGAGCATTTTGAATATATATCGAAAATAACGGTATATGTATAGAATTGCACAAACACACACATAATATATGTACTATATATCGATAGGATACCAAAAAATGAAAAAATAACTCTGGGAAGTAAAGGAAACACGAAATGTTTATTTATGAAAACTCCCGCTCTTTTTTATATTTCAATATTTTTATATTTTAAATAAGACTCGAGATATAACATCTGCAGAAATAGAAAATATTTAAAACATCTTTGTTGAACAAAGAATTTATAAAAAATGCTTCAGAAGAATAAATATAAGTATAATTATAACGTTTACTTCTTCAAATTCAGCAATCGATTTTAAATTGACTTTAATGCAACGGAAATCTTTTAAATCGAGTTATTGTTACAAGGATATGAAATGCTGAAAATTGAGGAAATATTGTGATATTCAATTAAACTGTCACTACGAAAAAAATCGTAAAAGAATTTATAATCGAGAGAAAGCGCGTGATACCCGTGACATGTTATATAAACAGAACGTAAAAGCTCGGGTGGAGTTCAGGGGCCATCGCCACTTTGTTGTTTTGCGCATTTGACGTGCCGGTATTAGAAATTCGCACGATATTTAATAAAGCAGACGCTCCTACACACTCTTCTCGCCACATTCCAAGCATACAAATTTTTTCAACACTCTCATGAAGATACCTCTCGCAGTGCATATAGTTGAATTATGAAATTATGAAATTACGAAAATAAATTGTTCAAATATCTCATATTTATATATTTTGTCTAATTGTGTGTAAATAAAACATAATTTTTGAACCAAAAGTCGATGGGAGTCTGATTATTGATTCTGGCAATGATTCAAGCATTTGAAACTCCAAAAGTTCTCAAGAAGATGAAAGAAATTTAACGACATCGAAAATAAAGCCATACGGAACGTTATTATACGGAAAATGCTAGAACGCGACGGAGTACTAAAGATGGGTAAAAAGTGATAGGACGAAGTCGTAACTTGCTCCGCGAAATTCTCTATGAGATCGTGGAAAACGTGCAAAGTTTCACGAAGGTAAGCGACGAACTTTCACGGCGATGAAAAATTTTCCGCGCATACTTGCGCTAAGTCCCGGATATCGAATCGCGCATTTCCAACGAAGTAGTCGCGAACTTTTCTACTTCGCTATGTCGAGAGGTTTCTCAAACGTTATTCAGTAGGTACTTTACTTAATCTAATATCTCTCCATTTCGTTATTGCAAGAGTAACACGTTGCGATGCGTGAAATTTTATGGAAAATCCTATCGGAAATACAAAGTCAAATACAAATACAAACATCCTTAATGAAATTTAATATTGCTTTCTGCATTTAATATTATTTTTTCCTTAAATTTATTTCTCAATTATTAGATTCTTTTTTACAGAGAATTGTTATTTATAATTATTTGCATTATTTGAGAGCATTATTTTAATCCATGTAGATAATATTAACGATTTCTTATTTATCTTATCGTATAAAATAAATTAAGATTACATTAATCTTTTCGAAAAATGAACGAAAAAGATTCAATAAACGACAAATAAAACTTTTATTTCATATTTAATTAAATGTACTACAATATTTTCAAAACCGCTGTAGGAATATTCATTCGAGAACACAATCAGTTTTGTTGATAAATAACTTAATTACCTCTCACACACGGTTTTCTCTTACGTGGCTTTTAAGCGTGCCATTTCCCTGAGAGCCCTTTGTACGCAAATTTCCCGAGAAGGCAAATAAAATTTCCATATTTCTACGACAGAGGCAACGACAAGCGCGGTGACAAATGCCGCGTGAATAGTCGGTGAGTCAACAACATCGATCTTCCTGTACCGCAGATTGTGTGCCGTGTTCCTTGATGCAGAAGAGAGAAGCGACGAGTATAAACGGCCATAAATCCCGAGCAAGATTCTTCGTCGGATTCACCTTCGCCGCGGAAACAAATCCTTGACTTTATCCACGCGCGCGACAGGATGCCACGGCGCTCCCACGCTTGTCAGAGGTATAGCTACACGATTATTGGTCCATAATTATCGGCCACCGAAGCATAGATAAGCGGTGGCGATAAGGGAGAAAAATAATAAATAAAAATATCGGATAATTTCTCTCTTACATATATATATATATATACATATACACACGCGCGGAAAAACTGATTGTGAGATTAATCGTTTGTCCACCACGGATGGCCGATGTCCATCACGATGGTGCGCGCGGGCAAATGCCATTTCGCCGATTGTATTCTCGTATTCCCACCGATCCTTTAAATGCCAGAACCGTGAAGAAGATAAAGGACGATAAAAAGAAAAGGACTTGAATACGTACAGGCGCGAAAGAGGAATTTTTTATTTCGTTTATTTGTCGCGAATGAATTGATTCATTGAGGAATGAAATTCACGTTTATTCCTCCGATGACATTACTTTTATTATTATCAATATGCATTTGCTTCTTCGCCGATAGGTGATGCGTTTGTACGTAATATTTGACAATGTGAAAGAATTTGCTAAAAACCTATATTTTATCTTAATAAAAATTAAAATTTTCTTTTGAATATCTTATATTATAAAAACATATATATATATATATATATATATATCACGGCAATTTGTCGTTGATTTTACCAATGTATTGGATTATTCTCTGTTCTCAATGACTGGTATTCTCAAGAGGCAAAATAATGCGATTGTCACATTTACTGTGCAAACGAAATCCTACGTTACAAATTTTTTCTTGGTAGAAAAAGATATATATATATATATATATAAATTATCTTCCTCCAAATATATTATTTATTTAAGACAAATATAGAAAAAAGAGATGTGTGTAATCGACAAAAAATAATTTTCTAGAAAAAAAAGAACAATTTCTACAAGTTTCTATAATTTAATTATTCAATTAAAACTGCTCGTATATTACAATCTAAATAACACAGCAATGTAGAATTTTTTATTACTATTCTGTCGTTATAAGACTGATTGGAATAAATATGACTGCTGCTACGGTTTCTCCAATAATATTAACTTATCGAAATTGTGTGCGCAATATATGTATTAATGGAAAATAGAAATTTAAAGTATACTTACATAGAAAGAAAAGGACCACGAGGCGCAACATGTTTGGTAGATCGTCAGCCACGACTCTGCAAATAACATCGGAATATAATTTATTGAGCAAGATTTACGGTAATAATAATTATAATAATATCATGATTTTATTAATGGTGTAATATATATTTTTAAATATATTGACAAAAGCAAACGGGCTAATTATATATTTTATATAAATTTTTAAAACAAAAATTTCTTAAATCAGAATGATAAGACGAAAAGAAATCGCTGAATGTTATAATAATCAAATTATTAATAAAAATAATCGGTTAATAATTTCCCTCTCTTGGAGTAAACAAAATGTTAAATGAAATGGAAACTAAAATAGTGCATCAATGTCTAGAACAACTCTGTGAAATATATTCTGTATTTCCGAAACAGAAATCTAATTAAAAGGTAATTGTTTCAGGAGAGCGGCGCGTTTCAAAATGCCGTGAGCAATATCGATTTATGTCGGTCGATGAGGTAATAAGCAAGGAGATAAGAGCATATCACGCCGAAATTTCAGGAGAGAAACGCGTGCGCGTAGGAAGCTGGTCCAGATCGAAGAGCTCGAAGCTAGAACGGGCGTATACATAATTATATACGATAAATATGCAATAGCGTTAAGTAATATATGAAACGGTCGCTCTAAGTCGTGATAATGATTGATGGTGACCCCTTTCAACATTTCGTAACAAATATTTACTTCGATTATTTTGAAAATTGTTTCGAACACGAATTCTCTCTTTATAAACTATAATTTATTTCAGAAATAGAGAGAACACTGCGAAAAGATATATTTTAAAAGAAAACATAAATTTTTTATTTTTTTTTATTTTTATTTGCTTCGAAATGTGCCTTTTGACGTACTTGTTATAGGAAAAAAAATCCTTGCCCAAAGAGTTCATGAAAGACGTGAGAGAAGACACCGATTTTGAAATACTCTGTGTAATCTATTAAATGTGCGAGAAGTTTAATGTTAATACTTCTAACATACAATAGATTGCGACATGTGTCAACCGCGTCAAATATCTTGCCTCATCGTAAACACGCAGTGAACGTGCAATGAATGTGTATAATTGCAATCTGCGCGTATAATTTAGTTACGACGATCGTATATGCAGCTCACCGATTCAGCCTCAATGAACAGGTCGTTGAATCGTGAATTACGCGTTGCTGACTTCTGCATCGAGAACCATTATTATCGATATAATCGCATCCTTGCTCACGCGAATGATACAATCGGAGCCTGGGGCTAGGTCGACGGCTTTACACAAGCATTAAGAGAATATAAGCACAAAGAGAAATCACGATTCGTATACGCAATAATTTAATAATAGCCGTTATTTAAACATGATCTTAAGGGCATTTAACCGAAAGGTTAGGAAAATTAATTAATTATATATAAAATAGGGGAAAAAATCTGTAATTATTTATTTCTCGATAATCAAGTTGTTCGCACAAATTTGTTCAAAACTCCATCGTATGCCGTATCTAGTAATTATATACGAAATTACAAATTTTAAAAGATTTAGTATTATTTAAAATATATTAAATATTATGTAATAAATATAAAAAGTAAAAAATATACTGACTAGATATATTATATATTATAT